TTCTTTTACAATCACTTATTTTGTTTGAGGCCTAATTCATTAAGATCTTACACAATATCATTAAAACACTATTCGTTTTAAGATTCTTGCAAATGCGATAGTAAAAACTTACCTGCATTCGATAGTTACACCAAGCAAATACATGCATAATATTTGTCCTACATATAACTCATTTATTACTTAATTATAGTTAGGTGATATATATCTACACTGTAATTTGTGATTTTCATGGTTAATTGGTTTGTTTTGGTATAAACACCGAATATTAAAAGAAACAGCCCGTCCGGTTATTGTTCCCGGCTGGTTAGTGGGCTAGATAAACGGGTTGGGAAATTCTGGTCTAATTAGGGCCCGTCCGGATTCGGGCTTAATGGGTTCGGACCGGATCGGGTTACCTAATTATTTTTTTATAGTATATTTTATTTTTCTTATTCAATGTTACTGGTACTTAAGTGTTTGCAACTTTTAAGACATAGAATTAAGGCTTAGAATTAAACTTTAAACTTTAAAGTTTAAAGTTTTAAATTTAAAATTTGAATTTTAAAATTTTAAAATTGAAACTTGAAAGTAAGTGGCTATAAAAAATTATTTAATAAGACCAATGAACAATATGTAAGGATCAAACTCCGAAGGCTTTCGTTTTATATTTTTATTGAATAATAAATAATACTTTAAAATAATTTGCAAGTTCTATTTTGATTTTTTTATTTTTGAACTTGCAAATTAAAAGTTTACAACAATTATAAAAAATAAGATAGAGTACATCACATACTTTGCATCATTTTTGTAAGTTCATCCATGTCAACATGAGATTCTTGGTTTCCGGCATTGCTTGAATCGGAACCATAAACCATTATATCTCCAATTTCTTGGTCCTCTGTTTCATCTACCTCTTCATACCCTTGATTTCGCCGTTCTGATGTTATCCAATTTCTTAAGCACACTAGATTTTTCAAAGCATTGTTGTCCAATGAATGACGGGTATCTCCTAATTATTGCCTTGCTTGGCTAAATGTGCTCTCTGATGCGACTGTTGAAATCGACACATTTAGCATGTCTCAAGCCATGGCCGAAAGAACAGAAAATGGATTTGAGTTGCTCCTCCACCAACCCAGCGGTAGAAATTCCTTTGTGTGGGTCTCTGGTGACTTTTGCAAGTAGAATTGGAGTTCATCAATATTTCTGCTACTGGTTTGTTGATGCTCTCCTAGAGTAGACCAAATCAAATAATCTTCAACACCATCATTATCCTCCAAAGCACCGGTCCCAGATGTTGAAACTGAACTTGAAGGAATATTTGCATCTACATCAGCAGAAGTATCAACAATGTTAACATAATAATTATATAAAGTTTGTAAATGTTTGTGTAGATCAGAAATACAAGTTTCAATATCAGGGGTTTCAGTTGGTCCAATATCCATATAAACATATAAAACAATGATTAATTGACGATAAGTGGCCATTTTGATAGAAGGGTTTAAAATAGTACCAATTAGGTAAATAGGGCAAATTGGGTAGAAATATTTCTTAAATTTATCTAGCATAGATTCAACAACAAGAGTATATCCTTCTTTCTTCTTCAAATTATGGAGTAAAAGAGAATTTTCAGCAATATGAACTAAACCATTTACAATAGTAGGATAATAAACTCCAGAAAACTCAAGTGTAGCCACATAAAATTTTTGTAAAATTTTTACAACATCTTCAATGACATCCCAAGTTCTAGATGTTAACAAACAGTTAGGATCGGTACAATGAGAATTAGCAACTTCAGTTATGGGCATTTTATATTTATACAACATCTTAAGAATAAATGAGTATAATTCCACCTAGTAACTATTTCTTCAGGCATGAGTCTTGGTTTTAGTCCATATTGTACACATTTTTTCTTAAATGCATTTAATCTAGCACTTCTAAGTTTTTCTTGAATTACACCAACAACTCTTCTAACTAAAGTGATCTCATCTCTAAATAATTCAAAGCCACTCTTCACAATTAAATTATAAATATGACATGCACACCTAACATGAAATATTTTAAGAAGTGGGGTGTATATGCAATTTTAATATTGTAATAGCAACATTGTTGTTAGAAACATTATCAAATGACATACATAAAACTTTTTCTCAAAGATTGTAAAATATAGCAAGTTCATGGATATTATTACTTATAAATGCACAAGTATGACTTTGATCTTCATCATATTTAAAAGCAATAATATGTTTTTGCATACAAAAATTATCATCTATCCTAGGGGTGTCAACGGTTCGGTTCGGCCAGTTATTTTATAAAATTTGTACCATACTAATTTTTCGGTTATTATATTATATATAACCAAAATTAGACTTTTCGAAACCGTCCCAATCATGTCGGTTTCTCTTCGGTATCGGTACTGTTCGGTTAATTTTCGGTTATTTTTTTAAATGTCATGTAAAAGTCACTAGTAAAAGTATAATGCAATAACATATGTACTTTTATAAGACTTGGCAAAACTCTCTAGACATTTTTACAGTTTAAAAGGTGACGATGAATTAAGAAAACATGAAAGATGGCTAGAGTATAGATTCATCAATTATTCTACAACAACTTAAAAGAAACTAAGCAAATACGAAAGATATTAACCAAGCTGGGACTCAAGAATAAAATCTATAGAAGATTAAATATTAAAAAAGATAAATCTAAATCATACGAAAGGAAACATATTCAATACATTGTAATTTGCTACTCATAATCGCTACAATATCTTGTGTCTTGATAGTGAATATGCTGGAAATAATTTAGTTTCAATCAGAGTAGCATAATAGGATTGAGAATTAGGATTTTGAGTTTAATTATTTGTTGGCTCGTAACTGTTTCATAATTCCAAGGCCCAAGAAAAAATTTAATGCTTTAATATTTTTAAACTTAATATATAAATATATTTTATATATTATAAATTTATTCGGTACGGTTCGGTATTTTTTTGATTTATTTTTATAAAATAAAAAACCTACCCTAATTATAGGTACAATTATAGATTTATATAAAAACCTACGGTTTTATTAAAAGAAACCTAAAATCAGTTCGGTACGGTATGATTCGGCCGGTTTAGTCGATTTTTAAATATCCATTGACACTCCTAATCTATCCAATGGCATGTAACAGTCAAATAATTATTTTCATTAACAGCACGACCAATATCAGAAGTAAGAAAAACTCTACAAGAAAGACTGGCGAACAAATAACGGATATATGTTTGATATTGTCTAAAAAGCCTAAAGATATAAGTTATACAAGTACTTCTAGGAATACCTTAAAACAAAGAGTTATAAATTCTTTATATATAAGTAACGAGATATGGTGAAGCAGCAAAACTAAAAGGTAAACAACCTAAAACAATCACTTTAGCTAATTCTTCCCGATCTTTCGCTATATCGTATTTTACCCATTAAACCGCCAGTACCCCGGCTTAAGTTTTTGTTGCACACCTTCCTCATCAGCACCCCATGCAATAGGGTGGTTATCTACCATGTACCTACGAAGTTGACCCGTTTCCCCTGCCTTACCTCCGGTCTCATGTTTATAAACTTCCTTACAAATTTGATATCTTACATAATTTTTATCTTCTTCTAGTCTTTCAAAAAAAAAATTCCAACACTTACTTCTCAATCTTCGATTCCTCTTAATAGGGAGGGGAGGCCTACCTGTATTACCACGACCTCCACCTCTAATATTTTGAGTTTGGCTAGCATTACCAGGTGTAGCCGGTGGTGTTTCAAGATTATTAGGTGATTGAATATCATCTAAATTATCATCTATACCATAATTTTCTTGAAATTGCTCATAATCTATATTTAAATTTTCAGGTGAACTTTCAGAAATATGTGTAAAGCTACTAGAAGAACCAGCACCACCTTTTGATTTTTTAGAAATTTTACTCGTACTACTACCACCCCTACTAATACACGCTTTTTTGGCTGCTCTAACTATATCCATTATGTATATTAAATTAAGAAATTAAATTAATAATTCTAAATAATAAAATAAAAATATACACCAAAGAAGAGAATGAGATGGAATGAGTGTAACCGGATTCCGGATGCCGCACTAAATTTAATATCAAACTTCAGTTGATAGATTGATACTTGATATTTGATGATATTGAATATTGATACCACACTTCACTTGAATATTGATATCACACTTCACTTGAATACTTGATATTTGATCATTATAATTTTGTAGTGACTAACGTAAATATTTGATGAAACTTGAAATAATAAGTAATTGAAAATTTAAGAGCAATAAGCAATATTATCTAGAATTGAGAGAGAATTATAGTAGTAAGAGAGCATATTGTGAGAAAAAATAAAGAAGAAGGAGGGGCTATTTATAGTTTTTAAAAGGTTAAAATTATAATTTATCAATTATTAGGGGTGGGGGGTCTATTTTCTTAAGGGGTAGGCCGAAATGGCTATTTTTTGCAAAAATGGTCGTTGCCAACGGTCATTTTTGAATTTGACCGATGGCAATAGTCAAAAAAAATTTAAAAAAAAATAATAATTTTACAACGGTAACCGGGGTAGACCGGGTTGTAGCCCGGTAAAGGGTAACCGGGTTCCGGGGCACCGGTTACCAAAATATGTGCGTTCCCGCCCCACCCCTAGCGTACCGGGCTGACCCGGGTCGAATCAGGCTGTGATTCGACTGGCCCGGCCTGATTAACAGGCTTACTTTCACCGCATACCGTTGGGTACCATCACCTACCACTTTCACCACCAGCCACCTCCATTAGCTATCATCGGTGGACCACCACATCCATCACCACAACCAGCACCTCATAAGCCACATCGCGGACTATCATCGTTGTCCGCTACCGCCGCTGCTAGTTTTAACATTGTTCAAATAATTTTTACGATATCTTTTGAATATTTTGTGGGTATAATATTTACTTAATTATTTTATTTAAATTTTACATTTATTAACTGTTAAATAAAGACAAACTACATAAATCCAGATGCTAAGATAACAAACTGTCTTAATTATACATATTAAGATCAGAAACTTCAAAAGTTCTCTTCCCATCCATTCTAAAACCTAAGATACTTATATAACCAAAAACCAAAAATAAAATTAAAAAAAATACAAGCTATTTGGAATAATCTCAAACTGAGGCTTTCCCTTCCCTTTGAGATGGGAAATAGACCGGAATGGATTTTATCTATCTACAGACCTATTGACAAAATAAAAAACTAGTACAGGAAGACAAGGAGCTTAAAGATGAATGTAAAAAATGTGGGGAATTCAGACGGCAGCAGTTTCTTGCATTTGGCTGTCAAATCTGCTGGTCAATACTTGAGTTGCCCGAGCACTTCTATGTTGTAATCGCTGGTGTAGCATCTCTGACATCTTGTTGAAAAACTCCGCATCCCATCTTTGTATTAACACAGGATCTTCGGCATAACAGATATATATGGATGTTACCGCGCTTTCCACCACAACTGTAGCCAGTCCAACCTGAAAATCGATATACAATGTCAAATAATAAGGAAGACTGAGAGTCATAGAAGAAGAGGATAAGTCATTATGATATCCTACATTTTTGGCATCGACCATGTTACTGTAAACAAGCTCAAGTTTCAAATAGTGTGTAATGGTGATCCCAAAGGCAACTATCTTAGTGACTAATAATCACAGTTATTTTATAAAGGTGGTGCTATGGTATCGCAGCTCGACTATTCTATCGAGTGCATGTACCTCCCACAGCATAAGTATCGGATAGCTCTATCTACCAAGGCTTAGCCAGATGAAAAAAATCACTTGTCATTTGTCTCTACTGGGATTCGAACCTTGTTCAACCATTATTTTCACCCACTTCTACCACTAATAATCACATACCCCGGACATAAGACTCATATGGTTTTGTGATGATGTTGAATGCCTATGCACTTTGAAAATCAAGAAAGAATAGATTAGGTTATATGAATGGATCATCAATTGATCGCATATCACAAGGTTCAACCAAAGTTCATAACTGTGAATCCCGATAAAAGTTGATATTTATTCCGCCAGCTTAAAAGTGTGACACCAGGTGCAGCATCTCAGCATGACCTATTCTTGTGTGCTGAATCCTCAGTTAACAGTATTTATATTTAGAAGTTCCTCAAGCTTATTCAGATTGAACTCTGACTTTGGCAATACTTGAGAGGGACGCACATGTGGGCAATAAGGCCGTGAGTGAGTACATGGTGGATTGGCAGGAAAAAATGGAGAAGGCTGGTGAAGGTTATCGTCTTAAAGAAATAAGTATAGTCGCTATTCTTCATAATTATTTCTTTCATCTTCCATTTATCTTTACTTAACATCACATAATCAAACTGAATAGTTGTTCAATTAGATCATTAAAGAACTTGAGGACCATTTAAAGACAAACATCATGAACAGAAAGCAATTGAAAAGAGAAGATTGAATGAATTTGGGCCCTAATATCAGGTAAGGATAAAAACGGAAGTGAGGGAAGACAAAAGGGGCATACACTTTCAGACAATAAAAGTAAGATGGGAGCTAGGATTTGATAACTATAACTTACCAAGATCATTCCCATCAACAAGGAAGTAGAACCCACCATCATCACTCTGTCAGGATGCTTGATCCTTGTCCAAATTCCTGCACAAGTTCCGGCTACCAGCCCACCCACAAGAGTTCCCATCAATATAACAGCACCTGAGCAGTCATAGGCAATAAGTGCTTCAACCCCCGTTGATTGGAATAACTCCCAGGCATCTCTTGCCGAGCGATTAAAGTTTTTACCATAAACTGCAATCTGCGAAGGATTATGTTTGAAATATGACATCAAATTCACTAACTAATTGAGATCTGGTTCTGGTAAAATTTTTAAAAATTCACTACAATGCAAAATTTCTTCCAAAGTGCTACTTATATTATAAGAACACCATCATCATCAAATAAGATACAAAGAGTACCTAAAGTACAGGAAATATAATGAAACGTTCAAAGTAAGATATATGAATGGTTTGCTCCAAAGGACCCTTCCCATCTCAGATCTTGCTCATTCTCGAAAATCAAAGCATTATATGTAGATATTTAAGGTTGTTTGCTGAAAATCAATCCATCTACCTAGAAAGATAAACTGTTTGGCAATAGCTTTAATGGCAATCCAAATGCAAGGCCACTGCCAACAACCTTAAATATCTACATATAAATAAAAAATACAGACTATGCTTTTCAGCATCCTTTTCATGCAGCATTAGCGGCCCTTCTTTGTTCTGTTGTGACTCGAGCCTGGAAGCTACATGTTATGGCTAGCAATAGCCCAACACCAACACGAATTAATTACTCAAAAGAAATACTCCTTCCGTCCCAATTTTTGTGATGGATGGTATTTCCTTTTTAGCTTGTCTACAGATAATGACATCTTTCTATATTTAGAAATAATTTAACTCTAAAATTTCTATTTTATCCTTAAGCAGATGATTTATAGCGATACAAATATCTATGGCTTGTTTTAGACCACAAGTTTGAAAAGTCTTTCTTTTTTTCTTAAACTCAACGCCCAGTCAAATACCATCACAGAAATTGGATCGGAGGGAGTAACTGATTAGTGCATGTGGCAATTTACATCACATATTTCCTTAAAATCCGTGTCCCATCCTGAAGTGGGACAAAGACTGAGATATAACTTATAGCCGGGCCACACTCTAGCTACTCCAAAGATTCATCAGCATCCATGCATGGAATACTTACACACCTAGTTGCCAGAATATCACACTTGCTCAAAACTTATAACTAGCTCGTCATCTGTTAAATTGCACAAATATAAGTGCATCATGCTAAACACAAACAGATGGGAAAGAGGATCAGATAAAGAAGATTATCGAGGGGTTGGCACACATTTGGCATGTACGTTGTCTAGTTGACAAATCCTAGACTACAACCAAAAATAATTTCATAAATGAAGCAAAGAAGATTAATAAAGAGCTGAGCACATTGTGTATGTCAGTAGTTGATAAATCCTAGACTACGACCAAATACTATTACTGAAATACTCTAGAGAACAGTTAGAAGACCAAGAACGTTGTACGGTAGTGAATGTTGGGCCGCTAAAGTCCAACATATCTACAAGATATGTGTTGCAGAGATGTGGATGCTAAGATGGATCTGCAGTCATACAAGAATAGATAAGATTAAAAATGACCACATTCGCCAGAAGGTGTAAGTAGCATGCATGGATGAGAGAAGGTCGCTTGAGATGGTTTGGTCATGTCATGCGTTGACCTACAGATGCATCGGCCAATAGGTGTGAAACTATATTTAACTTATATTTTATTTGTATATTGATGGCATGAGTTGAGCGGAAGTGAGGCGTAATTGCTGTTGTTGTGTGGTATCCGAACCAACCTGCGCACACCTCAATTAATACAGGCAGCCTGCCATAATCCACAGGTATAGGTGTTGGTTCTGCTCCTCAAGAATAGAGCAGATGGGCTCATGATGAGTGTTGTAGCTAGGATGTGACCGCGGGATGTGCAGGTTCATTAATCCTATGCCTCAACTACTTGGTCATCCCTTTCGGGACAACTCAAATAACCAAGCTCAGTGGAGACATCAATATCAAAGCAGCAGTTACTCTTTTTTTGTGATAACCCTGGTGTCCAGACCAGCTTACGCACACCTCTACTAATTCCACGAGGTACCTACTATCTCCCACCAACACAGGTACCGGGCAACTCTGTCATTATCTAAGTTTGTTGAGGTATACCGTTAACTAGATTGTCATTATCATCTTCTTTTTATATGTTATCAGGGATTGCCCGAAGCTGCTTTCTGGGAGGTGACAAGGTGTTGAACTGCTAATCGTTTAGTTTTTGATAAGGAACTTCTACTTGTTTAGTAAGTAGTGCCCTTGCAAGACTTAAGAGGGTACCAAAGCAAGATCCATGGATGGGCTATCAAGGAGAAAAAGAGAGTTGTGGATCTGGAGTTTATCTATAAAAGGTGGTCAGCAGTTGGAAGGTGAAGTAAGACCCTTCATAAAAGAATCCATTTTAGGGACATAATTTACAAATATATTGAAAAAATCAACCATGACTTGAAGAACGGAAATATTAACGAAGTACCTGGACATAAGCATATTTATTGAAGAAACGGACTAAGGTCTCAACCAAATGAAAGAGGAAATCAACGCAGCAAAGCAAACACTCATTCTTGCCAATCTTTGATCTGACTCCTCTAATCTGCACATACACGAAACTAGTCAATCAAAAATGTTCATACGTTCAGTTAAACAATATGTAAGTGCAAATCTTACCCTTCATATGAGAAGTTAATATAACAGACAATTAGATAAGAACAGATTGACCAACCTTCCACCGTAATGTCCGGATCGCAGCTGTAAAAAGTGAACCATAGCAGATGCTGCCAAACGAGGTTGTAACAGCATAGCGTAAGGATCTCATCACTGGTTTGGGAGGCATTGAGGCTGCTTGCCGACCACCATTAATGAGAACTAGAAACACCATGCCCGACACTATTACATGAATAATGTTACACAGTACTGCACCAGTCCAAAATAGACTCACACAGAACACCTGTACATAACACAAGCAATCAACAGCTCATGGTGCTTGGTAGCACAACCAGTATAAATTTGATAGTGACTAAACACTAAAACCAGATCAAATGAAGAGCACAAACTTGCCAGCTCACCACAAGAAGCCACCAGCGTCCACCATCACCAATACTAAGCGCTACAACACCAGCTACTCCAAAAGACCAAAGTACTAGCCATGAAAGCATGACTAGCATGAATGCACATGAGACTCCCACAACTTCAGGAAGGCTCCACACCATCTTCACACCTCTTTGTAACACCAACATGGTAAATGGAAGTCTGCGAAATTGGGGAAAAAGAAATTTTTTCACAAAAACCAAGACTTACTCAACAGTGTCCTTATTCAAAAAAATCTTGACTTCTGTATTTATATGCTTTCTAAGCTTTAGGAAAATTTACACAAACCTCTCCATTAAATTTGTTTAAAATATTAAAAAGCTTATGACACCATCAAACTTTTTTTGATAACCGAGAAATCCCCAAGGGCTAGTGGTGAAAGGAAATTTGGAGGACAAATGGCCAGCCCCTCTACCCTTCACTTAAATACCATGCTTTTGTTTGCGACAAGGATCAAACTTGTCAAATATTTTAACTCCAATCTAAACTATCCTAGAACTTCATGCTTGTAACAAACTAAAAAGGAGGTTCGCATGATGTGGCATTTTATTTTGGAGAGGTAAACTTACAAATCTGTCGAATGTAACTTTGCACTAACTAGAATTTTTTTATACAGGGAGAGCAACCTCCTTTCAAATGGTAGGATGACTTTCTATCCAAGGAACTTCATGACTGTATATCTAATTTCATTTAAAATCAGGATGACAGGGCTGACTCCAGATAAGATTTCTTTCAAGAAAACTAATCTGCAGATGCTCCAGCAGACATGCACATAACAAATGATAGATGACCTTTAAAATTGATGACAAGAGCATGCATATAGAGAAAAGAAAGAAATAATGGTCTCCTTCCCTACAATATAAAAAACGAAGAAAGTAATAGTATGACCAGAGAACACTGACTTGCAACCAACATAATGCCCTTTGTAGAAACTGTAGTTTTCTCTTTATATATAAAAGCAAAAAATAGTAAAGTCCTCATTTTATACAATCTCACAACACCACAATTTTCTCCAAGCTGGTAGAAAGAAAGTATGGATAGCGGGCTCATTTTCACTACATTAAATAAAAAGAAAAACCAAGATTCGTTTCTGTTTCTTATTTTTCAAAATCATGTTTTTTTCCCGCTATACCTGTCTATGACTGATATTACGTACAAAAACTGCAATACTGCACCAACAGCAAATGCAACACCCCAGAAAAATTGCTTCTGCCAGAAACACAACACACTGATCACAGCAAGATATGTGGTTAAGATGTGAACCGAGAATTTCATCATGCTATTAGCACTTGAACCAAGCAACAACAACCAAGCCCATGCCAGAACTGTTCCCACTGTGCCAGCCACGGCATACAAAGGCCAAAAGTCCTCAGTCAAACCAGGCTGATTCTCAAGGAACATGTTCGTGAACCTATCGATTTTGAGCCTATCCTTTTCCCTAAACCTGTTAAACCCCAATACAGCAAGTGCCACACCTACCAATACTAGATGCAACATGAATACCCCCATCCAGAACACATCTCGCCAATGCCGTGAAACTTGTGAAGTGATCAGTTGTCGAGATCTATTAGCATCTCCACTCGACCCATTCCCCACCACATCCTGCAGTCAAATAGATAAAGAAAATAATAAAATCTCAAACTTCTCTATGTCTGCAGAGCATAAGTAAGACTCGATTGGTACTCCCTGATTCCATTTATTATGGTGGCTTTTGATGGGGTTTAAGATGCAAAATTCATTTTAGTAATATTTAGTGCTAGTTGAAGAAATATTAAAGAGTGATTGAAACATGAGTTTGATAGAGAAACATCACATCAAAATGGAGAGTGTGTTAGACAAGAGTCGGAAGTTCACTTTTCCTTTCTTTTGCATGTTTGGTGCATATTGAAGTACCTACTTGTGAGTATGAAGGTTTAATTGCCACAGAATGTTTTGTAAGGATAACATCAGCCTTTTATGATACAAATTAAATGCTTATTGATATATCACACAAAAAAAATTATATCAAAGTTTAAAATTTGAGTTGTTAAATGAGTTTGAATTATTGATAGCTACGAAAATTGTATAGACCGGGATGGTGTCAAACCTTTTGAAATGTCTCAAAATGGAAAAGTAACACATAGGTTGAAAAGGAGGTAGCAACAAAGGTCTTAAGAAAAACATACTTCACATAAGGAAACTAAAGCACTGTTGAAGTTAAACTTTTTTTCTTTGATAACCGACAAATCACCGATGGCCAGTGGCGAACAGTTGGAAACTCGGGGGGTAATGCCCCAATTTAGTTGTGAAGGCACGAGTGTACACATTCTACTATTATACTCTCGCCGCCCCAATTTATACATGATGCATTTCCATTTTTATAAAACTTTCGCAACATTCAAGAATGTAAATTCACTTTAACTAATCAAATTTAAAATTTGTATCTAATAATCTCTTTTAAACTAATTTTACGCAGCACCTCTTTAATATTTCCTTCCGCTACCAGCAATATGGTAATAAATCAAATTAATATCTTAAATTATGTTCCAATCAACAGCGTCATATCCACGAGAATACAATAAATGAGTATCAAATTCAGCATACAACTCACACTACCTATCTGCTTCTTACATCTACCCACTTGTAAGCATAAATTTACCACAAAATCAAAGCAATTCAACTTTCAAATTTATCCAAACACTCAAAATCTACTGCCACATCGAAAAATGTCCAGAAAATTGACTAAACATTGCAAATACAACACAAATTCATATAGTTTACATCACAAGCACACTAGTAAATATCGACTAAATAAACCATAACATTCACTTGTAATTATAAATTTTGACACAAAATCTCGAAGCAATTTAACTTTGAAATTTAGACCGTCAAACTGAAAAGCTCCAAAATATTGACTAAACATTCTATAAAAAGGTTGCAAATTCAACACATAATTCACACAATTTACATCACAAGCACACTAACAGCCATAACATTCACTTATAAGCATAAAGTTTGCCCAAAATTGAAGAAATTTAACTTTCAGATTTATTCAAACACTCAAAATCTACAGATACAGTGAAAAAAATATTCCAAATAATTGATTAAACATACTACAAAAAAAAAAAAAAAAATAAGTTGAAACTTTATCACATAATTCACACAATTTACACAAGCATAAAACCATTACACAAGTAGGCATAAAATAAAACTTATACAATAAACGATCAGTAGTAATTAAAAAAAATTACAAATTACCAAAAAAAATACAATTAATAAAAAAACGAGTAGTGAGATGATTACCGGCGGGGGAGCGGCGGGGGAGGGAGAAGCGGAGCCGTCGTAGGAGGAGGAAGAAAGAGAAGAGAACTGAGAATCACTCATCGAGAAATTGATGATGATGATCTGGCGGCTATAATTACAAGAACAAGTAACATTGGTTGTATAAATTCATACAAAAACTAATTTTCTTTATAAATAATAACAATAATCTATCTGTAAAATGTTCATTTGATTAAGTGTACATTGAAAAGATTGAGAGGAACAGGAAGAGTCAATGGAAGTTTTAATTATTAGGGATTTGAAATTGACTACTAACGTTTCGTTTTCTATTGCTTTCCTACTGTTCTTCGCTTTAGGGGAGTTTTTGGGTTTATATATGGAGTGAAAAGAAACTGATATGTAACGGTTAACAAAATGGTAAAATAAAGACAAATGGATTTTTCGTATTCCTGCACAAATATTTAAAAAAAATCGCCATAAATATGAAATATTAATAAATTATATACACTGATAATAAAAAAAAATATTTTATTGCCAATGGGATTGTAATACTTTTTATAGCATGTATTTTTATCTAATGTGATTATGTTTGTCTAAAGTTGAGATATGTCGGATACAGCTTCTTTACCAAAAGTAAAGGTTATTTGTGAGATTAAACTTAGCTTATTGTTATTGTATTTTTAATCTAATGTTGAGTGGTTGAGATACATTTTTATTGGTTAAGACGCGATTATCTATGTTAATAATTTTAATATTATTAACTTGATTTAACTTCAAATGTTAGCTCATATATACGTAATGGTGGAGCCACATGCATCCAAGGGGTATCAATCTCAAAACATTACACTGTTAGCTTGGTAACCTTTTCTAAAATATGTATAATGTTATATAATGACACCGCTTGACTTCTTGGTGAGTTTATTTCTTTATATTTTGACTCCGCTTAATGAAAATTCTGACTCCGCCATTGTATATAAGGTTTATTCAAGATCATATAAGAAGGTATTAGATAATAACATATTAATGCAACCAATGTGAGATACTTACCACTTATCCTCCTTCCCTCAATCGGTGCATTTAAGACTAGATATCTAGGCTCTAGTATCATTCTCTTTCAAAAGGTGGAAAGAGCATTGCTTCTCAACTGTTAAAGGCAGTCGTATGCACAAAGTATTTTATATATATACATAAAGGATGAGGAAATGCCGCATCGTTAAGGATGTGATGTAGACAGTCTACCGTAATATAAACATTAATGATTACTTTGATAGTTCGAACTCGTAACATATAGGTCACACAAAGATAATTTTAGTGTTGCTCAACTATTAAAGGTCAAGGGGTTAAAGTTAAATTTACTCGTTTTTTTTTGTCCTCTAATTCTTTGTTCTTCACCATTTTCAAGTTTTTGTTTTAAATTTTCTTATTTATGATCCAATTAATAATTAACAGCTCCTACTTCGTAGTGTTGGGGAATGAGATTGATAGCAACCGTTACACCTATATCCTGTAGGGATATTTTATATACTTTTTTATTATACCATCCTACTCTCAAATCTTAATTCAATATTTCGACTAGTCTTTTTCTATGTGCATGATATATATATATATATATATATTTTCTTTTCACAAGACTTTTGTGCCTCAACCTTTAATGAAACAAAGTTCTCTCTCTCTCAAATAGAGCTAATTGCTTTTCGAAGGAAAAATATTATTTATTCTTTCTCTCAATATATTTGATACTTTTTCAATTTTTTTTTTATTTAGCTAAATCAATAAATTGTTAAAATTTAAATCTAAATATTCACAAAAATCGCACTTAATTTGAATTCCAGAAACAAAAAGTTCAAATATTTTGAGACAGAAATAAACAAGAAAGGAATATCTGCATGAGATTCATTATTATAGTGTCTGAGTCAAACATGCCGAAGACATCATTATTATTATTCTTTGCTTGAAGCGTATATATTATATAATAAGCAAAAATCCTACAGATTCAAACGCTTTTTGTTTTAATATATTGAAGATTAGCTGGAAAAAGATAATCATCAAATTATTGGAACTTAATTTGCTATCCCTCCAACCAGACACTACTTTGTCAAAAATATTCAATAAATATCTATGTATTAATTTTTTTTTAAAAAAGATAACATGTATATTTATATATAATGTAATATAATTTTTATATATAATAGACCGACACGATTTTACATTAATGTTTTTTGAGTTAATAAATTAAGAACAATTGAAGGGGTTCAATGGAATATATATATAGCTGAACGAATTCAGTAATTTTTATAGAAAATTAATAAAATATTTATAAGTATTTAATGTGAATATAGCAACTAAAATTGTTTATAACATTTCACACGATTAGTGTAGCAACTAAAATAAGTTATGAATTTGATACCAAATTTAAAGTCGATAAATTTTAAATCTTAGCTCCGGCTATGAATTGTTCATAACATTTCACATGACAAGTGTTTGACCAAAAAATATAGATCTTGATGGTTGAATGTTCATTTATTCATCATTCAAGTTTGCATTTTTTTTTTTGAATTCCTTGTTAGAGTTTTGATTCCGCCGTTGCATATAGGCGAGTTGTAATAAGAAGTAGATATTTTTGTTTGGTAATTAAAAGTTTTACATACCAAAAAATATATGTACATATAAAATAAAATCCAAAAATTAGAACAGTCAGATCCTTACTTTAACAAACAACTGCCTATCTTCTAGTCCCCCTCACCTCCTTTACAAATAATCAGAAATTATCAGTTAAGGGTATTAATTCAAATCAATTCCTCGAGTTTTCAGCTATCTTCTTGTTGCAATTCTCTCTACAATGTATATCCTGAATAAAGAAAAACTAAGCAGATAGCAATATAATTTTGCTTACATCGTCATTAGTTAATAAATAAAAGTAAAAGATAAGAATCAAAAAAAGGACACTTAACAAACAACTAAGCAGATAGCAATATAATTTTAGTAAATTAGTAATATCATACTAGACGTGTATTGACCGGAACATGCAAATAATAACAAATTAAGGAACAGTTTTATTTTTTTTATTTATTCTGTTTGTATAGGCTATTAGGTTACAAAGTAGTACTTATCAGTTGTGCATGGGGTCAGAGACATGTGGTTGGTTGCTGGCTAGGAATTTCCGCCGCCGAGGGAGGAAAAAACAATAGTAGTACATGTGAGACACTATATGAGCTAGAGTATTATGTCCAGATTTGAACGAATTCAGTAATTTTTATAGAAAATTAATTAAATATTTATAAGTATTTAATGTGAATATAGCAACTAAAATAAGTTATGAATTTGATGTCAAATTTAAAGTCAATAAATTTTAAATCTTAGCTCCGGCTATGAATTTGTTCGCAACATTTCACACGACAAGTGTTTGACCAAAACATATAGATCTTGGTTCAAATAATTAAATTTATGTGAACACGAGTTAATCTTAACTAACAATAATATCCTTAGATGAGATTCTTTAAAGAAGCAATGAATATCGTGTGGATCTCGTCGGACAATGATAATATCATATAATCAATATTTTCGGAATCAGGGGCAATAATGTAACATTCAATAATAATGAACAACAATAAATGACATTTAAGTAAATAGGAGGAATGATTCTGTTACATCTCGCATTTTCGTAAGTTAAAGTTTCATTGTAAGTTAATCGACGTAAATTCGGGAATAAGATTATTTTGAGATTATAAGTATTATACTATTTTTAACAAGTGATAAGTAAATTCGTGAAGGTGAAAGGGTAAACATATCAAAAAAAAATGAGTTTCATTGAAGGTGGTCAATTTGGGATAAAATACGGTCCAAGTTATAATACCCTGTATTTAGGGATTAGTGTTATATCACATGACCATGATAGTAAGGTATATGAAGTATACTAGTATTTAAGTGAAATGAGACATAGGAATTATTATGTGACTAATTGGTTAAATATGGGATAATAAGGTAAATAAATTTTATATATATTAAGTACTTAAGTGCGAGGATAAGCATATGGTATATATCTTTTGTCTTAGTAAGCACTATTTGTCATAAATGTACGACTCCCACCGCCAATACATGGCCAGGTGGAAGCCAAACATTTAATGACCTTTCGCTCTCATTTTTGGAAAGGTTATTATAACATTCACCCTTCATTTGGTGTGAAGAAGGAATTAACAAACGTTCGGCACCCTTAGTTAAGGATTAACTCATTCATTTTGAGAATTCATGCCAACACCTTGAGGATAAGTCTTTTGAATATGATCCAAGTTTGAATGTTCATCTACGGCCTTCTCGAGTTTTTATGAGCAATTACGGTATGTTAAAGCTATCCCTTCTTTCTTTTTGGCATGATCCAAATGATACAAACGAAATGAGAAAACGCACAACTTTCAAAAATGACTTTATTCATAAAAGTACTAGGGGTGTCTATGTTCTTGATTTCCCATGTGACATATTATTATATCTTCTGTTCATGAGTCTTAGAAAAATACGTAGTGATAAAGTTTATCCGAAAGGTATATTGATCTTGTTAACATATTTTTTATGAATATTATTCATTTATACATGTACATTGACCCATGACCAGATGGCGTTATATACGCATATATTATATGTATATGGGATATGGAAAAAAGTTTTGGCGTTATATACGCACCACCACCTGATCAGCTGGTATATGTTGATGATGTTACCCACAGTGGCCGAGATGATATGATGGGATGCCCTCAGAGGCTTGATGATGTTATGTACACCTATACTTATGCATGACACGACATTTATACGCACGTGCATGACATTATAAATGTTTCAGGATTTACAAAGTTATTTAGACTTACAGGCGGAATTCTTTATTCCATGTTTCATCTATGTCTCTTATGTACCAATTTTTATGCCTTACATACTCAGTACATTATTCATATTGACACCCTATTTCCCGAGGCCTGCATTTCATGCCCGTAGGTGCAGGTACACAAGCTGACGGTCCCCCTTCTTAGGATCCTTGATCAGCGAGAGTTGGTGAGCTCCATTTGATCCAAAACTGCTTTTGATTTTGGTACGATATGTTTGTATACATATATGGGTATGACGGGACCCAGTCCCGTCCTTGTACAGTTGTATATTCTATTAGAGTTCTGTAGACAGGATGTATAGTTGGATGTATAGCAGCCTTGTCGGCTCACCCTACGTATTTCGCACGTATATGTATATATGTCTTTTGGTCAGGTTTCCCTCACGCATGTTATTCTCGTATTTCAGCAGATATTATTCATGTTTGTATCTTAGGCACATGCTTAAGGGTGTTCGACAGGTAGGACTCGGGCACTCGTCAT